ATTTATTACCAAGGAAGCCAGAGCAACAGCTGGAAGCAATGAAAGGGCCCCAGTTAAACGGAATGGCCTGTCAGCTGGGTCCTCATTTGCATAAATCAACACATTCTCTGCCTCTTCCACCTCACTTGCTCCCAGACACACACACACACACACACACACACACACACACACACACACACACACACAATTGCTTTTTCTTAGGTTTTATCATCAGTTAGAGCTTCCATCCAGGGAATCAGTTCCCAAAATATGACCTGTGTGCTACTGGGGATCCCCAAGCTCTTTTGCAGGGTCTACAAGGTCAAAACTACCTTCATAATACCACCATTACATCATTTGCCTTTTCCACCATGTTGACATTTACACTATTGGTACAAAAGTAATGGTGGGTAAAACTGCTGGTGTCTCGGTATGTATCAAGGCAGTGGCCTCAAATTGTAATGCCAGGCACTGTATTCTTCACAGCCACAAATTCACAGTAGAAACAAATACCAGCTTCACTTGAGAACATCCTTGATGAAGTAAAAATTATTGATTTTATTAAATCCTAACCCTTGAGTACTATCTGTTTAATATTCTTTGTGATAAAATGGGAATTAAGCTGAAAGCACTTGTAATGCATACAAATGTATGAAAGTTGTCTCAAGGAAAGGCACTTGTGTGACAGGGTTGTGAGCTGAACTGGACACTTTTTTCATGAAACACCATTTTTACATAAAACAAAATGATTGATAAACTATGATTACTAAAAATTGGGTATCTGGTGAACTTTTTTATTTTGACCGGTGAGGGGCTCGCAACCCTCTGCACGGTGTTGTCTGCACCACGCTCAGCCAGTGAGCACACTGGCCATCCCCATGTAGGATCCGAACCCGTGGCCTCGGCACCACCAGTGCTGCACTCTCCCGAGTGAGCCATGGGGCCGGCCCGAACTTTTGTTTTTTTTGAAAATAAAAGAAGTGAGCCTGTCATTTAAAAAAAGAAAGAAATGATAGTATTTATTACCAAGTACAAGAATTACAGCAGTCAAGCAAAATTAAGAATTTTGGAAGACCCGTATCTACTACCATGTGCTTGAAAACTTCTGAACAGACTATCTAGTGAGATCAGCGATGATAGTAAAAAAATGTGGAAGGCTGGCATAAACCAGTGAGCCAATATTTTCCAAATTACCTATGCATCATGTTACAGAATCATGCTTGGCTAAAGATCACTCAAAGTGCAACAAAGTCCAGTTGATTTTAATACAAGAGAGTAGGAAAAGTTAAATGAGATAATTTTAGGTTCCACACAACAGCAAGCCTTTGAAAAAAACTATCACTTTTTGAGATTAAGTATAGTAACAAATAACATCCAAAATTATTTGATGAATACTATTAAAATACTCTCCCCTTTTAACTACAAATCTGTTTGAGGCCAGATTTTCTTCGAATTCTGCAACCAAAAGAACATATTGCAGTCGGATGAATGAAAAAACAGATATGAGAATCCAGCTGTCTTCTCTTAAACCAGACATTAAAGATTTTCAGAAATGTAAAACAGTGTCTCCCTTCTCACTAAATGATTTCTGATTTGGAAAATGCAGTTATTTTCTATAAAAATATGTTATGTTAACATGTAACCAGTTTATTATTATTTTAAACAAGTTAACATGAATATTTTATCTGAATATGGTAAATAGCTTTAATTTTAAAAATGTCAAACAGCTATAGTTGTAACCCATATAAACAAAAGCTTTCCGGGGTCCTCCATTATTTTTAAGAGTGGTATGGAGTGATGAGGCCACAGTGTGAGCACTGCTGATCCAGGCAGCCCTGTTCTACAGAGGCTGCATCTGCTGTCCTCTCCTGAGCACCCCCACCCCATCTATACTCACAGTCCTTGCCACTTCACTGTGTCCTCCCTACATAATATATAACTAAATACTTCCCGAGAATAGGTCATGACTCTTACCTGTGCTGTGCTATTGTACAAACACAAACTGCTAAACCTACTGTTGGGGAGGAGCTGAATGAAATCATATGAATTCATAAGGAAAAATAATAAAGGGAAAAAAATTAATTTACAGAACTCATTTTAAGAACAGCTCTGCTATCACAGCAGTGAAATAACTGCATAAGCTCATGTGATCACTGAGCCAGGTTGTAGCTTTGGGAGGATTAATCAATGCATGTTATTTGGGGGATGCAAAGCAAACAAAAGAGAAGCAAAAGCACCATTTGTCCATGCAGGAAAAGAAATGTGTGCCAGGACTGTTGTGGAGGCCCATGTGCCAGCCACCCTGCCAGGTCTCTGCAGTCACTGGCACTGTTTGGCATCCACCACTTCCAACACAACCCCAGCCACGCTGCCAAGCAGGTGTCATTGAGGGCATAGGCTTGACATCAAAATAACCCAAAGAAGAATTGTAAAATGTGAAAAGTGAAATGAGTCTGATTTAAAACAGGAAAATCTAGTTATAAGTAAATAACTAAATGAACAATTAGAGTTATGCAACTGTATGTGTGGACACGCACAAACACATATACCACCCCTCTCTATGTATAGATAGATAGATAGATAGATAGATAGATAGACAGATAGATACATTGATCCATCCGTCAAAATGTACTCATATGAGTTAGTTCACTGTACCTCAGCACTGCTGTCTGAACTTAGATAGCCAGCTCTCTTGATTACATTTCTGATCTGGCCACAAGATAGATAGATAGATAGGATAGATAGATAGATAGATAGATAGATAGATAGATAGATAGATAGATAGATAGACAGATAGATACATTGATCCATCCGTCAAAATGTACTCATATGAGTTAGTTCACTGTACCTCAGCACTGCTGTCTGAACTTAGATAGCCAGCTCTCTTGATTACATTTCTGATCTGGCCACATTTAATCGATTATAATCTGTACAATATTTGGCACAGATTCATGCATATAATAAATAACCAAATAATATATAAAATTATTTGGGTTTTATAATATTCTTTAGATTATATGTAATATAGAACATAATACAAGACAATAACAAAAACACGGCACTTGTTTAACATTTTTATCAAGAGAATTCTTGTAGCTCAATAAAAAAATCCTCATTATTATAACTTTGCAGAGGATAATAATAATTAAAATTTCAGGAGCAATTACTAGTTTAAGTGCTTTATGCTTCTCCACTGCCCATCCTTCCTATGAGCAAAATAAAATGTAGGCACCCAGGATTCTCAAGGATGGAATTATTTTGAATAATAAAGTGTTCTACTTGACTGGGCTCATCTTTTCTATGTTGGAACCTATGTTTTAATGCATTCTGAACAATATAAATCTCTGCCTTTTAAAAACACACTATGCTGAACATAATTCAATTACATCATTGAGGTCTCAGGGCATTATTATAACTTATTACTCTGATATGCAGATACAGTATACTGTCCCTATTCTCTACTTGCCCTCCTCCCATATGCAAATTATATGCACGAGCCCTCACATACAGACATGAAATCTGCTAGGCAAACTGTATATTGTATTTTCAGTGTGCTACAAAGACATTTTCCGAGAATTACTGTTACAGAATGGAAAGCTATTGATCTCACTCTTGCCCTTACCCCACCCCAACTCCACACAGCCCCAAATTCCTATAAGAGAGGGATGCTGAATGACATCAAAGACTATGCCACTAGACTGCAGGGGCTGGCCCCAGACTTGAGAACTCTCTCTGTTCTTTCATCATCCATTGCTTGCTTCTTCTGCAGTCAGCACAAAGTGCTAGCAGTCACTGGCACTATTTTAGGTAGACCTGCCCTCAACATGGCTGTTTCCTGCTCTTTTCCTTTTGTTTCTCTCTACTTTCCTTTTGTTCTTTCTGCTTCTGCAATATAATATTGGACTTTTCCTGAAAGCCTCGCTTTCTCTAAATGACTTCTAAGCAAGAAGACCTCCCTTTCCTTTAGCGTACCCATTATTCATAGCCATCACATATAATGCTTGATCTGTTCTTGGTTATGTGTTTTATTAAAAAGCACTTAAGTGGCTATTCTAAGGCAACCAATACTAAGTTGACCGTATGTCTTTTAGCTTTAGCCAGAAAATTCCCAAAATAGGAAATTATGCCCCATTGTTGCCCCTTCCTCCACCTATGTCTGTCACAGTATTGATTCCTCAGCCTACTTTAACATCTCTCCATTCAAAACACAGTTACTATGCTAGCCACTGCACTAAGTGCTGGGGATACAATGGTAAAGAAAGCTAAATACCATAGCCTTCCTTCTAACAGAAAGCTTCAGCTATATAATCCAATTACATAGTTTACCATAAAAATATAGTGCAACTACTAAAAACGAATTTAGACTAACGTAAAATCATCTGGCTATCAAAATTAGAGGATTCTTTCAGGTCTTTTCAAGTATTTATCTACATGATAGATAAAATCCAGACAAGGTCCTTTCAATTTAGTTGTTCATTCACCCTTCCATACGGCACAGATCTCTTTCACTGGAGAAACTGCACAGGAAGTAGTAAGAAAAAAAGGGGACCCTTTAAGAAGCAATCCATGGCATAACAGATACTACGGTTGTAGTACCCTCGGACCCAATAAAATCCTACAGCATTCAAGCAACATTCCAAGGACTTTTTAAACTTAAAAAGGCCACATTTGATATGAGTTACAGGAGGGATTGTAAAAGGAGGCCCTTAGCCTTCTACAAAAAGTGAAACTGTCATTCCCTATTCCATCCACTAGAATTGTATGTAAGGTAAATCACACTTGTATCTCTACCAATCATTAAAAAAAAAGTTTCTCTTTAGTTATTTTACTTAGTTTGGGAAAACATGCATATTCAAAATTCTTTTAGAGTAAGGAACAAGATCTTCAAATACTTTAAGGGAGAGAAAACAGCCAAGATTAATTCTTAACCTGGGAGGTATTTTGTAATATTACCATATTCCTTGTCTTGGAAGAATGAGATTTCTCTAAGTTGTTTTCATCACCAGTTATATTCTCCATACCTGTGTGGCTCCGGATATGAACTCTCAGTGTCCCACTGCTGGCAAATTTCTGACCACAATATGGGCAGACCTTCTCCTTTTCTCCTGTATGCGTCTAAATGGAAAAGAATAAAAAGGGTTGAAGATAAATATAAAGAATTAGGTAAAGATGATTAAGTGTCTCTGACAATAATAAGTCCTTATTTTCCAGGATTATATTTCATTAAAATGATTTAATATCACAAAGAGATTTTAAACAATTTCTCATGGATATTCCCACTGGTTCAAAAAAACCCTTTGAATAGTACATTAGTGTTAATTTCAAAACAATTCTGCAGTTTACTTTTTAAGCCTTTATGGAGCCCCAATCTAAAAATGATTAAGTTATACAGAACCAGTATATGCTAGCAAAACCACATAATCAAAATGAGGCTACAGCTGCCCTTGACTGCTGCCAAATACTTCCTTAGAAGCATTTTTCGAATTCTCTGTGTGTATTTAACTCTTGAGAACAGAATTAATCTCAATAAAGTCATCTGTTACTTGCGTTATACTTGTCTGGACTGATTTTACTGCAAAGCAAAAAGGAATATAAATCTAATTTGACCTTTTAAATCAGCAGGTATTAATTGAACAGTCAATTTGAGAGAGTGTTTCTGCCCTTAACAAATCTTTAATCTAGGCATACAACAATCACACAAGGAAAGGTGAATGAGCATCATCACATGAGGGTTTCAATAAATGTTGAAGGGTTTAAAGAAAAAAGGGTGACCCCTCCAAAAAGAGGAGTTAGATGGAGCATTTTAAACTAGCCTACAATCTATCTCATCAGGAGACCAGTTTTTCTACCAACATCAAAACAGACTGTTCCAATAAATGAGTCCAAACTATTTTTTAAGCCCCTGTGTTTCTCCAACTTAAAAGAAGGGGGAAAAAGGGAAGAGGACGCAATTCCTTTAGGTATCGGCACATTCTTTATGAGATGCTTTTAATTTTTTAATAACCTAAAAATTAATAAAAGCATAAAGTGAATCATCTGGGTTACCATCACAAATTAGCTCCCAGGGCCTGTGTTTGCATTTAATCTTATGCAAATAGCTAGCAAATATTATTATTTGAATTGCCATGGACTAATGAAAAAAAGAAGGAAAGGTTTTTTTAAAATGACACTTTCTCAGAAGGGAAAACCTGACTGGGACAGAGAAAAAGAAGTGTGGCAATTACTTCATCACCTGACAACCTCAAAGAACCACCAACATGGCAAAATATATTCATCTTCCATATTAAATTGTTAACTTTAATATATAATTGGTTTCAGAGCCTTTTTGGTATTTAATTTGCAAAGTTGCATATTTGTGTTATAACGTGTATTTGGATATGTACTATCCTACTTGTAATTTTTAAAAGAGCTATAAACTAAATACCTTAGTCAATATCCATGTCATTCAGAATATTTTTCCCTTCAAAGCATTTATATTATACTCAAGTCTGAGAAACACAGTCTATTCAACTGCCGTGCTAGCCAACGACACTGCCTACAACAGGTGTCTCCTTGATTGTGCATCTGGCAGGCACTTAACTTTCCATTTTCACGACCAGCTTTCATATAAAAGAATATACATCATTATACCTCAGTAAGAGCCTCCACTCCCCTGATCCACATTATGGTTCAATTTAAAGCAAAAGGTGTAACATTTTAACATATAGCAAACCTATCTTCTTCTCATTCCCTGACAGAAGGGACAAAATATTGCAATTCATTGCTAATTAGTGTAAGGTTGTTGAGAAATTGTATGTATCTATTATTACAACACTGAATTATTGCAAGCAGGTAACTAATAATTTATTTGTAATATCTTCATAAAATCCATAGTATGTCTTTTGCTGCGACATAAGTATTTCATTGTTCACATACATGAGCTAAGGTACTTATCAGTAGTAGACATTTCAAACTAAAAGATATTAAGGCTATATTAATGAAAATAAAACATTCTTTTCATTTAATTCAAAAATATATCTTCTAAGTGGGCCGGCCCGGTGGCACACTGTGCTAGTGCGCTGCTTGGGAAGCACGGTGGCGCTCCTGCCGAGGGTTCGGATCCCACATACAGACCAGTTCCTGCTCACTGGCTGAGCGAGGCACAGGGGCAACGCTGAGGGTTGCGATCCCGTTGCCGGTCCTGGTCCGGTACGGGGGCGACACTGAGGGTTGCAATCCGTTGCCGGACACGGAAAAAAAAAATATATATATATATATCTTCTTAGGTACAGAATTTGGTTAGCCAGTTTTAAAAGACATTGAAGGTATAATACTAAACTACCTTAAATATAGATAAAGGAGCATGGAAACAGCTCACTATAAGAACAATATTGGATATATGTATGAGACAAAAATGAACATTGCACTGCAAAATATACTGTGACAATCTGTTACTACAGACAAACAGCAAGATCTCTCTTGAAAACTCACTATACTTTCCCCTCATTTACAGAAAAACAACAAAAAATCTGCTAAATTCATGCAAAAATGTAATTCAACCTAAGAAAATTGAAAGACTATTATATTCAGAGACTTTTAAAAGGCATTAAATATCATTATTACTGAGCACTAAAGATGCAGGAAAGAAAAAAGTTCTAAATTCAGTCCTTTGAAACAGCTGGATTAAGGATAGGTACTAACATAAAGGTCATACTGAGGCATGACTCAGTTCTTCACATTCATTCAGTAGTACACAACAACTGACAGAAAATTAGTATACTTCACAGTCATTTCTAAAGTCAACATTAAAACCTTGAACTGCATTTGCTACAATATGAATTTTGCTATTACAAAAACATACTTAAAAATGCATTTAATTCAACAAATAAAAAACAAACTTTGTTTCAAGTAGCTATCCAATTAGCATAACACAAAAAAAGATCTCCAAATCAACAGATGTAAGAACATCATTTTATTTGAGGTGAGCAAATACCTATCAAGTCCCTGTTCTGTAGCAGGAGCTTCCCCATACCAATGCAAAGATGAAGGACCATTGCAATCCTAGAAGGGTGCAGTCTAATAACTTGCCAAAAAACATCTGAATTAGCTTTGAAAAATAAACCTAAGACACTACTGGCTCTCTCTGCTCTCTCTCTGCTTCTACCATCCTGCAAAGTGAGACTCCTGGGTCACTGTTATCACCACCAGACGGAACTTGGACTTCCCAGCCTCAGAAATTTTCGGCAGTATGCACGGAGCAGGGAGACATCCAGCAGGGGAGGCAGAAGCTCAGCAGTGACCACACACGCTGCAGTGCCACCGCAGGACCCAGCAGCCCGGCTGAGTGCATGCTGGAAAGGCCCAAGACCCAAGGCAACCACACACACAAGGCACTAGTGGCCAACTTAGCAGACATGAGGTAGCCACACCAAACTGGCAACACCAGCAACATCCTAGCCAGACAATAGTGTCAAACATATGGACTGTGAAACCCACTGCCACAATGAATAAACATCAAAGGAAAGATACCAGAAATATGAAAAAATCAAGAAAGTACACCACCAAAGGGTAATAACTCTCAAGCTCTAGATCCTATAGAACAAGGAGCCCTTGAAATGTCTGACAAGGAATTTTGAGTGATAATTCTAAGGAAACCGAACGAGATACAAGAAAACTCAGCTAGACAACATGATGAAATGAGGAAAAGTATACAGGACCTGAAAGAAGAAATGTACAAGGAAATCAATACCCTGAAAAAGAATGTAGCAGAGCTTGCCAAGCTGAAAAATTGATTCAACGAAATAAAAAACACAACAGAGAGTTTAACCAGCAGGATTGCAGAAGTAGAAGAGAGAACTTCTGACCTTGAATATGGGCTGTTTGAAATAACACAGGCAGACCAAAAAAAAAAAAAAAGAAAGAAAAAAGAAAAAAGAATTAAAAGCATTGAAGAAAATCTGAGAGAGCTGCCAGACAACATTAAGTACTCAAACATCCAAGTCATGGGTATTCCAGAAAGGGGAGAAAAAGGAGATTGCATTGAAAACATATTCAACAAAATAGTGGCAGAAAACTTCCTGGGTATAGGAAAAGACACAGATCTTCAGATTCAGGAACCTCAAAGATCCCCAAATGTATTCAACCCAAAAAGGTCTTCTCCAAGACATGTTATAATCAAACTGAAAAACTCAAAGACAAAGAGAGAATCTTAAAAGCTGCAAGAGAGAAGCATCAAATCACCTATAAGAGAGCCCCAATCAGACTAACATCAGACTTTTCATCACAAACCCTAAAAGCCAGAAAGGAATGGGATGATATATTCAAAATACTAAAAGACAGAGATTGCCAGCCAAGAATACTCTACCCTGCAAGGCTATCTTTCCGAAATGAAGGGGAAATAGTATATTTCTCAGACAAACAAAAACTGCGGGAGTTCACTACCACATGACCACCCTTACAAGAAATTCTCAAGGGAGTACAGGGTACCTGAAAAATAACTACCACTGCCATAAAAACTCAAGAAAAATCAAAACCCACTAGTAAAATAAAAATGCTAACAATGAAGAGAAAAAAAGAAAAGTTTATCTACAACCCAAGAAACCAACAAATACAGAATACAAACAGTAAATCAGAAAGAAAAGAGCAAAAGACACTCAAGACATCCAAAAGTCAATAAAAAGCTAGGAGTAAATCAACACTTTTCAATAACAACTCTTAATGTAAAAGGATTAAATTCCCCAATCAAAAGACACAGACTGACTGACTGAATTAAAAAGGAGGACCCAACTATATGCTGCCTTCAAGAGACCCACCTCAACTATAATGACTCACATACACTAAAAGTGAAAGGATGGAAAAAGATTTACCATGCAAACAGAAAAGAAAAACGAGTTGGAGTAGCTATTCTTATATCTGATAAAATAGACTTTAAACTAAAAATCATAAAAAGAGATAATGAGGTCCACTACATAGTGATAAAAGGATTGATCCATCAAGAAGACATAACAATCATATATATATATATATGCACCCAATGTTGGAGCAGCCAGATTTATAAAACAAACTCTGTTAGACCTAAAGAAGGAGATGGGGGGGGGTACCATAATAGCAGGGGACCTGAACACCCCACTGTCAAT